TGGGTGAGCGTGGTGCTGACAACACCAAGTCAAGGGTTACGATCCCCTTACCGGTCATCTTAATTAATTAATAAAAATAAAAATAGAATAGCACTGTCCATCAGAACTTTCTGAGATGATAAAAATAGGCTAGCCACATGACTGCTAAATACTTGGAACTAGGACTAGTGAGACTAAGGAACTGATTATTTAATTTAATTCTAATTAATTTAAATTGCCACATGTAGCTAATGACTACCTTACAAGATCAAACAGTTTTAGGAAAAAAAGATGATGCTTCTGTCAGCTTCCTTAAACTAGCCTACCTTTTTCTGGTTAATCATTGCTCCTATGCCTCAGACTAACCATTTCTCTACTACACTTTCTCAACTGAGGTCCTGCCAAAGAATTTAGCTCTACAAAAAAACTGACTGATGATTTTCTCAATACTCCCAACAATGGGTAAAGAGCTAAAAACCATTCCAAATAAACTGGAGAGCACATAATCTCTTATACATAATGGATTCCTTGGGGCTTTAGGGCTTAAGTCTCTCATAAGCCTGTTGTAGTGTCTTCCATATTAGCAGCAAAAGAAGATATAGCCATTACTCATATGTTCATATGAATTTGCAAAGGTGATGCATGTACATCTATGAATGCCTATATCTACAGAAGCTATTCACACTACTTTAATTAGAAAGTTGAGAATTTACAACAAAATATACTTTATAAAGTCACATGGGCTTGCGTCTACTTAGATAAACAAAGCAATTATAGATAACAGATTAGAAAAAATGGTTATATGAAATATTAAATACCCCCACCCAGCACCATTCTTAACTTCCTTATTTCATAGTTCCACAGTTTTACCATTTTCATACAGTAATAAATTACTTTCTGAAAGATTTTTAATTTTCTCTACTTAAAACTGAAAGATTTTAAAAACATGTCAAATCGAATATGTTCTTCTGGTGGGTGTACCTCATAGGATTAATTTTATTGCCACCTTTCTGGGATGTTTCCAACACCAACAACCATTTCTCTGATTCCCCAGACACCAACTGGGTGTCCTACGATTTAATTCAATTCTGACACTGACCAACTGGAGTTGGAGTCAAACATTACAGGTTTAAGGACTAAATTCCACAAGACTACCTACCTTC